GTTGGATGTGTAGTATGACCGTTATGGTTGGATGTGTAGTATGACCGTTGTGGTTGGATGTGTAGTATGACCGTTATGGTTGGATGTGTAGTATGACCGTTATGGCTGGATGTCTAGTATGACCGTTATGGCTGGATGTCTAGTATGACTGTTATGGTTGGATGTCTAGTATGATTGTTATGGTTGGATATCTAGTATGACCGTTATGGCTGGATGTGTAGTATGACCGTTATGGTTGGATGTGTAGTATGACCGTTATGGTTGGATGTGTAGTATGGCTATTATGGTTGGATATCTAGTATGACCGTTATGGTTGGATGTGTAGTATGACCGTTATGGTTGGATGTGTAGTATGACCGTTATGGTTGGATGTGTAGTATGATTTTTGAAGCAACATCTAATACATAAAGCGAATAAAGTACAGGTTTTAAATGATATGAAGTTATTGAATTCAACATTTTATTCTTTACTCACTCATGATAAATGACTGGTTCATAACTGAATATATATTTGTATGTTTTTAGAAACCAAACTCAGGTCCTCGTAGCCCAACCAAACTCCTTCACTTTTACAACGCTTCCATATTGCCTCCTCCACCGACAGGTCCGAACGCGAGGCCTGTAGCCATTGTCAAACTAACAGGTGTGTGGATCGATTTTTTATTTCATGAGTAGAATTACGATATAGATTTTATTTACTGTATTTAATTACCTACATTCTTAAATTTACAAAATATTAGGTCGTCAAGAAATTAATTCCGCGTTTGGGAACGCTTTCATTAACTAAAAAACGTGCATCACGTATAACAAACAGTTAAAAGTCACGTTATTGTAGCCTATATAATGTGTAAAGTTTAGTATACTCTAGTCCCTTATAGTGATGGCACACTACGAGACTCTGAAATGGCCCTGAAATTGCATGTCTCTCATGAAACGATACGTAAACATCTAAGGAATGTGGGAAAACTCCTTAAAGAAGGTGTTTGGATGTCTCACAAACTCTCCGATGATCATCGTTTCCAACGTATGAACGTTGCTTCGTCTATTCTGACGCGTAATGCGTGTGATCCATTTTTGGATAGAATTGTCACTAGTGATGGAAAAATGGATTCTTTATGCGAATATTAAACGACAAAAACAATGGCTCAGTCCCAGACAAAAAACACTTTCGACCCTAAAATCTGGACTCCATCCGCAGAAAGTGATGCTTTGTATTTAGTGGGACATCGAAGGATTAATTCATTTCGAACTCCTCAATCCACAGCGAACTGTCAATACACAGATCTATAGTCAACAACTGGAATGTTTAAAGCAAGCCCTTCATCAGAAACGCCCTTCCTTTGTTAATGGGAAATGTGTTCTTCTTCACGACAATGCACGTTCACGTGTGGTACGTTTGACTCAACACAAGATTATGGAGTTGGGTTGGGAAGTTCTCCCACACCCACCATATTCTCCAGATATGGCACCATTAGACTACCATCTTTTTTTGTTCATTACAACACCATTTTAATGGGAAAACGTACAAATGTGGAAGGTGTTAAAGAGGACATCGATATGTTTTTTGCTTCAAAGCCAAATGATTACTTTAATTAGGACATTAACAACCAGATTGTAAGATGGAAAAGCATCATCGATAAGAATGGAGACTATTTCATTTACTAAATGTTTTGTTTTGATATATAAGTTGTTCGGGTTTTTCATCTAAAAAAAAAGCGACATTAATTTCTTGACGACCTAATAATTTAGAACTCGTACTTTGCATACGAAACGTTTCGTGGATTATGGTATTTTGTATTTTAATTTATAAAGTTTATAAAATTTAAAGGCTGTGCTGTGTATTTACGTGGCTCTGAACGAGTCAGGTGGCCGTGCGGGGCGTCTCAATTACTGCAAGGTTAAACCTATTCCACAACATGTGATACTCACCATTCACCTTTACTACAAAAGACACTTTGAGCAGAATATTGTGATCAATAATGACAAAGCGATCGACTTCTTGAACCAACATCTAGACACAACATCTAGCAACGCTTTCAAAATTTAGGTATTGGGGGCAGGTATTAAAACTCAATGGTTGTCCTAAGTTCCCAATCAACAACCTGACGGTAACACTACTCTAAGTGTCTATAAATATATATGAACAAATTCAAACACAAAACCTTAACACATAAACACTGCTGTATCAGATGTGGATCTGAGGGATCACAGATCCATTCCCCATATACTTCCTTTTGCGATGCATTGTACTATCTACATCCACCCCTTCCTTACGCGTATGGTGACGTCATATGTATATCCCTACACCTAATTTCATTTTCTCCATGGTATAATGAAGTTAAAAAGGGTTCAACGCACCCACACGTTACTCGCTTAATATTAGAAATAAACGACCTTAAAACACCAAAATGTTGTTTTCATTTAATTAAACAAACGGTTCGCTTTACAGCTTCTTCAGGAGTGTTCTCTAAAAAACAAATCGAAACTGATATGACGGTACAAAGCATCAAATAGTTTAGATGATAAATTCTATTCGAATGATAACGTGCATTTGTACAGAGTATGTTTAATATATTATGTAGTAAAGCTTATTGTTGAAATAATTAACTATTACCTGTAGTAAACAAAAGTATTGCTGAAATAATTAACTATTACCTGTAGTAAACAAAAGTATTGTTGAAATAATTAACTATTACCTGTAGTAAACAAAAGTATTGTTGAAATAATTAACTATTACCTGTAGTAACCAAAGTGTTGTTGAAATAATTAACTATTACCTGTAGTAAACAAAAGTATTGTTGAAATAATTAACTATTACCTGTAGTAAACAAAAGTATTGTTGAAGTAATTAACTATTACCTGTAGTAAACAAAGGTATTGTTGAAATAATTAACTATTAACTGTAGTAAACAAAAGTATTGTTGAAATAATTAACTGTTACCTGTAGTAAATACAATTTCTGTCAAAGTGACAGATTGAAATAACGAAAAGGTAGGATAAGAAATAAAATAAAATAATCAGATTATAGGTATCATCCTTTGTCCCTATTTATCTGTGGTCGTAGTTGTTTGATAAAAATAACCTTAAATTTTCTGTCAGTGTACTTGGTGAGGATTTGTTCCGAGTATGTTGGTTTCTAGTCAGGTGTTACTTGTTCATGATTAGTTACAAGATGATCTGTAACTGTGATTCTTTGATGTTGTTTATACAGAGAGTCAATATGTTTTCTATCCTTGTGTGTAGGGTTCTTCCGGTTTATCCTATGTTACATGTAAGTTGGTAAACAACATTGGAGACGTCTTTAGACTGTAAACCAGGTTTTATAAAACAGTTGGCTTTATTACATTGTAGAGTAGTGTACTGAGATTTTGAAAGTTGACTTTTTAGGGTAGAACCTGACCGTTCTGTAACTTTAATCGGCAGTTCAGCTTTTTCTGATTATAGTTTTTATTTTCTTGGAGATAGCTTCGTCAATTACAGGTGTTATAAAAATAACATTTTTGTGCTATCTTTAGAAAATTGTTTTTTTTTCTCCTTGTTTATCTGTGTTTCTCATGTTGAAAGTTTTTTCCCCCTTATTTATCTGTGTTTTCTCATGTTGCTGATTTTTGTTCATCGTAGTTCATGAAACTTTGTTCGATCTAAAAAGGTAGATATTCGTTGCTCAGAAGAAGTTCGGAGTGTGTACTGTTTTGTTTTTCCACTACAGTTGCGATCGACTCTGTTTAATTCTCCAATAATTGCGCTTTTCTTGGAAGTATTTGGATGATGGGAGATGAAGCTAAGTAAGAGAGGTTTCCTGATTGGTTTGTAAAACAAGTAGTTAAGTAAGAGAGGTTTTCTGATTGGTTTGTAAAACAAGTAGTTAAGTAAGAGAGGTTTTCTGATTGGTTTGTAAAACAAGTTAGATTGTATATTATTGTCATTGTCGATCCTTAAGGTGACGTCAAGAAAATCTGTGTTCGTGTTATTCGAATGAGTCAGGGTGAATTCGATGTTGGGGTCTATGGAATTTAGAATGTCTAAAAATTGGATTAAAGAAGTGAGGTCGTTTATTTTTAGTATTAATTTGTCTTCTGTACACCAATATGCGTTACAGAAATTGAATAGCAAGTTACTCGTTTAATTCCAAAGTATTTAATATATCACTGAAACATGTCAATTTCATTTACTGTATCGATTATATTTCGATAGAAGTAAGTGTTTTAATACACAGTGCCATCTGCCGACCTGTCAAGTGCTAAATATGTTGATGTAACAAAGGTTGATGATGTTGTCTGAAAGAATACAGCACAAGTTCAACCAATCATCTCGCAATACTCAAGTAGAAATTTTTACGCTTTTGGCGACATCTGTTGTATTTATTGTCTTAAAAGTAATAGTAATTTCCTCTATCAATAAACTTAAACTAAAACCGTACCTGCAGCCTCTCTACCCAGTCACTAAATCTAAGTTAAAACCGTACCTGAAGCCTTACTACCCCAGTCACTAAACTTGAACAAATACCGTACCTGAACTCTCAATAGCTCAGTCACTAAATTTAAGTTAAAACCGTACCTGTAGCTTTACTACCCCAGTCACTAAACTTAAACAAATACCGTACCTGAACTCTCAATAACTCAGTCACTAAACTTAAGTTAAAACCGTACCTAAACTCTCAATAACTCAGTCACTAAACTTAAACTAAAACTGTATCTGAAGCCTCACTACCCCAGTCACTAAACTAAAACTAAATCTGTACCTGAAGTCTCACTACCCCAGTCACTAAACTGAAACTAAAGTTGTATCTAAAGCCTCACTACCTCAGTCATTAAACTTAAACTAAAACTGTATCTGAAGCCCCACTACCCCAATTACTAAACTTAAACTAAAACTGTACCTAAAGCTTCACTAATTCAGTCACTAAACTTAAACTACATCTGAAGCCTCACTACTCCAGTCACTAAACTTAAACTAAACTGTATCTGAAGCCTCACTACCTCAGTCACTAAACTTAAACTAATACCGTACTTGAACTCTCAATAACTCAGTCACTAAACTTAAACTAAAACTGTACCTAAAGCCCCACTACCTCAGTCACTAAACTTAAACTAAAACTGTACCTAAAGCCCCACTACCTCAGTCACTAAACTTAAACTAAAACTGTACCTAAAGCCTCACTACCTCAGTCACTAAACTTAAACTAAAACTGTACCTAAAGCCCCACTACCTCAGTCACTAAACTTAAACTAAAACTGTACCTAAAGCCTCACTACCTCAGTCGTTAAACTTAAACTAAAATTGTACCTAAAGCCTCACTACCTCAGTCACTAAACTTAAACTAAAACTGTACCTAAAGCCTCACTACCTCAGTCGTTAAACTTAAACTAAAATTGTACCTAAAGCCTCACTACCTCAGTCATTAAACTTAAACTAAAGTTGTACCTAAAGCCTCACTACCTCAGTCATTAAACTTAAACACAATGTCGACTTTGCCTTAATAGACTGTTAAGTGTGTTAGAGAAATATATCTCACTGGAAATTGCAAAATATTTTGTCCGACTTACCATATAAACAGCTTGCTGCATTAAGAATGGATAAACCTAGGATTTGAATATAAAAACTGAAAATGTGTTATTACAATTAAATTTTGTACAAGAAATAACCATCTGTGAATTTCTTAAGCTTTCATCAAGCTACAGTAACAACCTAAAGTCAAGGTTTGTTCAAAAGATGATCATAGATAGGTTTTGTAACACGGAATAACAACTTTACTACAGATTTAAACTCCTCCACTCCAAGTCCACCGACAAACACCAGTGGTGCTATGGGCAACAAAACCACACCCCTTCCTGATGCTCTAGCGGTCAATATGTCGGGGAGAGAGACAAGGGAACAAGTGTTGGCCTCCCCGGGAGATGCTGGTAAGAATCAGATTTCTAAAACATTTACTTCCTGAAGTGGTAAGAACCAACTCCAGGAAGTAAATGTTTTATAAACCTGGTTCTACCACTTCAGGAAGTAAATGTTTTAGAAACCTGGTTCTACCACTTCAGGAAGTAAATGTTTTATAAACCTGGTTCTACCACTTCAGGAAGTAAATGTTTTATAAACCTGGTTCTACCACTCCAGGAAGTAAATGTTTTATAAACCTGGTTCTACCACTCCAGAAAGTAAATGTTTTATAAACCTAGTTCTACCACTTCAGGAAGTAAATGTTTTATAAACCTGGTTCTACCACTCCTGGAAGTAAATGTTTTATAAACCTGGTTCTACCACTTCAGGAAGTAAATGTTTTAGAAACCTGGTTCTACCACTTCAGGAAGTAAATGTTTTAGAAACCTGGTTCTACCACTCCTGGAAGTAAATGTTTTATAAACCTGGTTCTACCACTTCAGGAAGTAAATGTTTTAGAAATCGATAGAACCAGGTTTATAAAACATTTACTTCCTGGAGTGGTAGAACCAGGTTTATAAAATATTTACTTCCAGGAGTGGTAGAACCAGGTTTATAAAACATTTACTTCCTGAAGTGGTAGAACCAGGTTTATAAAACATTTACTTCCTGAAGTGGTAGAACCAGGTTTATAAAACATTTACTTCCTGAAGTGGTAAGAACCAGGTTTATAAAACATTTACTTCCTGGAGTGGTAGAACCAGGTTTATAAAACATTTACTTCCAGGAGTGGTAGAACCAGGTTTCTAAAACATTTACTTCCTGAAGTGGTAGAACCAGGTTTATAAAACATTTACTTCCTGAAGTGGTAGAACTAGGTTTATAAAACATTTACTTTCTGGAGTGGTAGAACCAGGATTCTAAAACATTTACTTCCTACTATAGACGTGTAGTGATACACAGTAGTAACAATAGTAACAATTACTTCCTACAATGGAGGCATAGTGATACACAGTAGTAACAATGGTAAAAGTTACTTCCTACAATGTAGGTGTAGTGATACACAGTAGTAACAATGGTAAGGGATACTTCCTACAATTGAACTTTTGGTTTTAAATGGCCTCTCGTTTTAAATGAGGAGTGAAGAAAATATACACACATATAATTTCATCAGTTTTTACAATAATCATAAAAGTGAATTAAACAAATTAGTTTGTAAGAACAGTTGTGATTTACTCTTGTTGCTCTGTTTGTGTGATGACTTGTACAATGTCTCCTCCATTTATCTTTAGCTTCTCTGTTTTTTGGGTTCGATTCTGATTGTAGTGTTACGTTAAAATCTTGATATGACTCTCGATAAATGCAATTATCTTTTGAAGTTAATCTCGGGATTTGAAGATATACTGAACAAAGGAAATGAAGAAAACCTTTATGTGTTAATAACCCAAGCAACTTCTAGATAGGGATCAAGTTATTCTGCTGGTCTAGATGGGACCTTTGATGCTGGTTTGTAATAATCAGCAATGATATCTATATCTCTTAATGTCATTTACCTGACAGCTAGTAAACATCGTTGAAGATATCTATATCACTAGATGTCATTTATCAGGGGGCTACTATTCATCGTTGAAGATATCTATGTCACTAGATGTCATTTATGAGGTGGCTAGTAAACATCGTTGAAGATATCTATATCACTAGATGTCACTTATCAGGGGGTTATTAATCATCGTTGAAGATATCTATGTCACTAGATGTCACTTATCAGGTGGCTAGTGATAATCAGTGAAGATATGTATATCACCAGCTGTCACTTATCAGGTGGCTAGTGATAATCAGTGAAGATATGTATATCACCAGCTGTCACTTATCAGGTGGCTAGGGATAAGCTACGTGATAAGTGACAGCTAGTGATATACATATCTTCACTGATGATTACTAGCTACGTGATAAGTGACAGCTAGTGATATACATATCTTCATGATAATGATAATCAGTGAAGATATGTATATCACTAGCTGTCACTTATCACGTAGCTAATGATAATCAGTGAAGATATGTATATCTTTACCAACGAATAACTGGATTGACTGTCACATTATTAAAAGATCATGGTTGAAAAGGCAAGTATGTTTGGAGAACTGGTTTTGGTTTTGATATTTCGAGCTGAATGCCAGGCTCGATCCCTGTAGTATCTCTTTCAGTGTAAACAAATAGAATGATGTGATCACTAGTAACTTTCTAATATTAACAGTTATTCTTATTTATATCATTAGAATCGAGTGAGCCGGACATACGATTGGTAAATCGTCCAGTGATGTCATCTTCCATCACCACTCTTGGAAGAACTGACCAGAGTTTCTCACATTTCCATCCACAGACTCAGGTACGTTCGATGTGTCCTAGTGGTATATATATATATTATTACTTGTATTTTACTTTTCTGGATACTTCAGTGTTATTTCTCTACTGTAGATATATTCTTACCCAAATATGCACCCGTCTAATGGAATGAGTTCCTCTGTTGTCGGTACGTTTACGCCACCTGTTGGAACCACGCGCTACTATCCAAGAACCATGCCCGTTTCTCGTTGGAACCATCCTTATATCACCCTTGACGAAGACGTGGACTATAACATAATGGCAGGATTGGCAAGTTCTGAAGGAGAACCTTCTCAGGTGCTAGGAACAGAAGGTTAGCCATGTGTCAACTGACAAGGTACTACATAAAATCAATGTTGAGTCACTAATTTCCCAGTCTGTCTCATTATTAACGCTGGTAGCCATCTTCTTGTTTATTAACACTAGTAGACGTCTTCCTGTTTATTAACACTGTTTTACATCTTCCTGTTTATTAACACTGGTAGACATCTTCATGTTTATTAACACTGGTTTACATCTTTCTGTTTATTAACACTAGTGGACATCTTCCTGTTTATTAACACTGGTAGACATCTTCATGTTTATTAACACTTGTTTACATCTTTCTGTTTATTAACACTGGTTTACAGCTTCCTGTTTATTAACACTGGTAGGCATCTTCCTGTTTATTAACACTGGTAGACATCTTTCTGTTTATTAACACTAGTGGACATCTTCCTGTTTATTAACACTAGTACACATCTTCCTGTTTATTAACACTTGTTTACATCTTCCTGTTTATTAACACTGGTTTACAGCTTCCTGTTTATTAACACTGGTTTACATCTTCTTGTTTATTAACACTGGTAGACATCTTCCTGTTTATTAACACTGGTTTACATCTTCCTGTTTATTGGAAGATGTACATCAATGTTACTAAACAGTAAGATGTCTACCAGTGTTAATAAACAGGAAGATGTCTACCAGTGTTAAACCAGTGTTAATAAACAATACATCTTCCTGTTTATTAACACTGGTAGACATCTTCCTGTTTATTAACACTGGTAGGTATCTTCTTGTTTATTAACACTGGTAGACATCTTCCTGTTTAGTAACATTGATGTACATATTCCTGTTTATTAACACTGGTATACATCTTCCTGTTTATTAACACTGGTAGACATCTTCCTGTTTATTAACACTGGTTTACATCTTTCTGTTTATTAACACTGGTTTACATCTTCCTGTTTATTAACACTGGTATACATCTTCCTGTTTATTAACACTGGTTTACATCTTTCTGTTTATTAACACTGGTTTACATCTTT